GGATCCCTGCAGACAGGAGGAGGAGTGCCAAAAGCACAACCACGCCAATCACAGTCCCACGCCATGGGGCCGGAGGCTGCCCTGCAACTAACACACAGCCAGGAGTGGGTGCCACAGCCTGGACCACATGCTGGCAATGGCCCAAACAATGGCAAAGAGTGTGTGCAAGTGTGTAGATGTGTGTCTTGGCTTGGGTTTCTTCTGGGATGGAGGATCACCCCATGTATGGGAAACGAAAGGTTTCCTCTGCTCCCCATGAGACCCAGCAGCTCCTGCGCTAGGCCAGCTCCTCACCACGGGAAGCGGCCAGGCTGGGAAAAGGGAGGATGCAGGAGAGACCCTCAGAAACAGGGAGCGAGGAGCCCACTTACCAACAGAGAAGCTGTAGCACACGCAGGTGAACTTCTCTGCCTGTTGGAGGAGACGGGAGGGAGAGATCAGGCCACTCCTGCCCCACTGCCCACCCTGGGGGCAAAGGCCTCCCACCCACAGCCACCAAATGCCCCACCTGTGGCCGAGGACCCCGGGGACACTGTCCTGTCAAGACGCCTGGGCTCTCGGCGCAGGCATCGGGAGCAAAGCCCATGCAGCACTGCCGCTCACCGTCGGTGGCCGGCCAAAACCCCACCGAGGAGCCTGGCCCCAGCTGGCAGCGTCCCCGGGGAGCAGGAGCCCCCTGCGATAGGTACCTGCTGCGAGCGGCGGACGAGACGGAGAAGGACCATGTAGTCTGAGCCCGGCCGGAGGGCAGCGTTGTGGTAACCCTGCCCGTGGGTCCCGCTGCCCAGCACAAAGTCCATGGGGGCGGTGAGGTTGAGCACGGCGGCCACGTAGGTGCTGGGCTGCTGGCTGGTGTTGAAGGGCTGCGGCTCCCCCAGGCAGGCGCCTTCCACTGCCGTGCCATTGCGCATCGCGGCCACGATGAGCTGGTGCTCCCTGCAAGACAGGGCGGTGAGAGGGCCAGGGGAGACGGGGACAGGGAGAGAGGGACGGAGGCGGCTGCGGGCAAATGCTGCCGGTGGGGAAACCCATCTTGGGGCTGCGGAGAGCAGAGCTGCCGGGGGCTGCACTCACCTCGCCACCTCGGGGTGAGGGGCGATGGGGCGGAGGGGAAGCACGGCCGTCCCTTGGGATGGGGAGATGTCACGGACGCTGTGGCAGCTGATGTCAAGAGGGCGCGGGGTGTCTGGAGGGGAAGACCCGGGGGATGAGCATCAGTGGGCAGCACGGCAGGGGCTGTGCGGGGGGCAGGGGCAGCCCTGGGCAGCGCAGGCTGCAGAGCACAGCTCCTCTGTGCCCAGGCACCTCCACGCCATCTAGGAGGCCACAGGGCTGGGGACAGAGAGCTGCCTCAGTCGGGGCACATGCCGTGGCCACCCCGGAGGGACCAGGGCACAACAAGCCTTACCCCAGCTGTTGGTCTGAAACTCCCACAGCGACGCAGCCCCGGCTCCGGCGGCCGTGAGTCCCTGCATCGTCACCACGTAGCTGCTGCCGGGGCTGTGCTCAGGCAGCGGGTACTCAGTGACGGAGCTGTTCAGCCGCAGCCGCTCCATCTCCAGGAAGCTGCCATCCCGTGCGCTCCTCGTCGTGATGTTCAGCTGGGGACAGGAGACAGAGCTGGAGGGCAGCAGCTGCGACCTGCCCTCTGGGAACCTGCCCATGGCACAACGAGACAGAGCAAAGCATCCCTACAAGCCTCCCCTTCCCTGTGACTGCCCCAGCCGTGCAAGGCTCCTGGAGAGGAACCAGCAGGAGCCTTGGCCCCATGCGTGGACCTCAAAGCAGACAAGAGGAGGAGAGGAGAAATTTGGAGCCAACACTCAAGACGTCAGAGCGGCTGCCTCTGTGAGCAAAGGACCAAGCCTCTGTGAAGAGCTGAGGGCAAGAGGGAGGCCGTTCCTTTGAAGAGGTGTATATATGTGTAATGAGCCCAAGGCCAGGTCACTGGTATGGTATTGCAACATCGCAGGCACTGTGCTGACGTCCCCCACAAGAGGAGCATCTCTGCTCTCCTTCCAGCTGCCACCCAGCCCTACAGACCTTTCTGTGATGGTGGTCCAGAAAATTGCATTTTCCTACCTTTTTAATTATCATCCTTAGCTTTGCTGGGCAAAGATTTCCTTTTCCTGGAAAGGCAAAGGGGAGTCCCGAGTAAGAGACTGGTGTTGCCCATGGCCCATTTGCCAATTTTAATTTCTCCTGAGATCCCAGGCCATCCTCGTTGCTGTCAGGGTCTTTATGGCAATGGCATCTTGGGAATATGCAAAAAAGGAGCTAACTGAAACCAGAAAGAAGGGCTCTTCTCACAAACAGAGGTGTCTGGGAGGAGGGAACCAGCTGGAACAGACCCACAAGCAATGCCATCAGGGCCCTGTTTGCCAGTTTCTCCAGGAAAGAGCTAAGAGGGGCACGAAGAACCAGCATGTCTGGGTCCCTGTCACCCCACAGAGAGGTCTGTCCTTAGAGAGGGCATAGGGCACACTGGTAAGGGTCTCACTCCCCCTCAGTGCTAGAAAGCAGGGCTGCACTGTGGGAAGAGCCCCAAACCCACAGACAGAGGAGATGCTTCTAGCCACGCACAGAGGAAAACTCAAAGGAAAGGTGCAACTATCCCAGAAAAAGAGGGTTTTTCAGAGAATGACTCAAACCACAGGCTTCCCTGTGGCAGGAACCAGAAACAAGCATGCAAGAGGCACAGGAAACCCTGGGAGGCCACCATAGCAGACACGTCACCAAGTGCTGCACACTGAGCCGCAAAGTCTGCCAAACCCCAGGCTGAGCATACCCGATGAGTAAGCCCAGAGGAGAGGTAGCCTCCACCACCTCTCCAGGCAACTATACAGCATGAGGAATGTCAAGGGTGAGACAGAAAATGCTCCTGCTCATCACAGCCAGATATTCACCTGGACTGTCTGGGAACTGCAGGTCATCACAGCTTTCCCTTCCCCACTCTCCTTGCCTGCCTGCACAGAGCTCCAGGCAAGGAGGCACCTGGCAAGGTCAGGGGGATCACGGGGAGTCCGTGGTCCCCTGGTACCTGGTATCCGATGATCTCCCCTTTGCAGGAGGGCAGCGGCTTCCACCGGAGGGACCCCGTGTTGGGATCCAGCCACAGCTTCTCTGGTTTGTCCGGCACTGGAAGCACAGGAGGACGGGGTCATGCATGGGACCAGCAAGAAGGGGCTGATCCCAGAGCAGGGTGCAGGCAGCTCCTGGCCCAGCGGAGAGCGAGGAGGAGACATGCTGTGCTCCAGGGCCCTATACAGCCCGTTCTATTGATTCCCACAGGATCTGAGCAGCCCCAATCCCAGGACCATCACTGCAGGGAGCGGATGATCAGGTTGAGCTGACGGGCGAGGGGCACCTTTACATTTCCTGTAGGTGGACACATACCTGTTTCCTTTGTCCTGAGGAGCCGTGTGTACAGGACCGTGCTGGGCGGCAGGGAGATGGTGACACTGTAGTCAGTGAAGGGCTGCAGAGGGGGACAGGTGAATGTTCCCTTCTGGCCGTGTAGCGTCTCCTCTCCTTTCACCTCTTCAGCCTCACAGGGAGGGGAGGAAGGCCCTGCCAGACGGCACGTGGCCCGCATGCGCTGGCAGGCGTCAGGGAGCCTGCAGGTCCAGTTCAGTTTGATGCTGGTGCTGGAAATCTCCAAGGTCCCGGGGACAACCTGGAGGACCTCTGTGAAGGAAACATTGCAAGAGGGTCACTTCCTTCTCCTCCCAGCCTTGCAAAGGTGCTGCGGTCAGACAGCTCTGCTCCCCACCCAGCTGAGTGGGAGGGAAAGCAAGAGGCTGAAACTGGTCACTCCAACTCTGGTAGGGGATCAGGAGGAGTTTGGGGTCATGGTGTGCTCAGAAGCTGGATGTGACCTTTTGGGAGAATTCCCCCAGTGAGGCAACTGCCCCCATTCCGTTCCTTTGAAGAGGTGTATATATGTGTAATGAGCCCAAGGCCAGGCCACTGGTATGGTATTGCAACATCGCAGGCACTGTGCTGACGTCCCCCACAAGAGGAGCTCTGAACTTCTCTTTCCTCCTGTGCAAGGTTGGACTCTGAAGGCTTTTTCTACATGAAAAGCGGATGACAGAGTTCCCACAAGGGATATAGATGGAGGCTGCCCATTTGCCAATTTTAATTTCTCCTGAGATCCCAGGCCATCCTCGTTGCTGTCAGGGTCTTTATGGCAATGGCATCTTGGGAATATGCAAAAAAGGAGCTAACTGAAACCAGAAAGAAGGGCTCTTCTCACAAACAGAGGTGTCTGGGAGGAGGGAACCAGCTGGAACAGACCCACAAGCAATGCCATCAGGGCCCTGTTTGCCAGTTTCTCCAGGAAAGAGCTAAGAGGGGCACGAAGAACCAGCATGTCTGGGTCCCTGTCACCCCACAGAGAGGTCTGTCCTTAGAGAGGGCATAGGGCACACTGGTAAGGGTCTCACTCCCCCTCAGTGCTAGAAAGCAGGGCTGCACTGTGGGAAGAGCCCCAAACCCACAGACAGAGGAGATGCTTCTAGCCACGCACAGAGGAAAACTCAAAGGAAAGGTGCAACTATCCCAGAAAAAGAGGGTTTTTCAGAGAATGACTCAAACCACAGGCTTCCCTGTGGCAGGAACCAGAAACAAGCATGCAAGAGGCACAGGAAACCCTGGGAGGCCACCATAGCAGACACGTCACCAAGTGCTGCACACTGAGCCGCAAAGTCTGCCAAACCCCAGGCTGAGCATACCCGATGAGTAAGCCCAGAGGAGAGGTAGCCTCCACCACCTCTCCAGGCAACTATACAGCATGAGGAATGTCAAGGGTGAGATAGAAAATGCTCCTGCTCATCACAGCCAGATATTCACCTGGACTGTCTGGGAACTGCAGGTCATCACAGCTTTCCCTTCCCCACTCTCCTTGCCTGCCTGCACAGAGCTCCAGGCAAGGAGGCACCTGGCAAGGTCAGGGGGATCACGGGGAGTCCGTGGTCCCCTGGTACCTGGTATCCGATGATCTCCCCTTTGCAGGAGGGCAGCGGCTTCCACCGGAGGGACCCCGTGCTGGGATCCAGCCACAGCTTCTCTGGTTTGTCCGGCACTGGAAGCACAGGAGGACGGGGTCACACAGGGGGCTGGCGAGGAGGGGCTGATCCCAGAGCAGGGTGCAGGCAGCTTCTGGCCCAGGGGACACGCTGCAAAGGGACCCCCCAAGCAGGGTTTGTCCCTTACAAAGGCTGCATGTGCTGCAGCAGCAGCAACAGTGTGGTGAGGAGGGAAGAGTGAAGAGGGGACGTGCTGTGCTCCAGGGCCCTGCACAGCCCCTTCCACTGAGCCCCACAGGCTCCAAGCAGTACCAAACCCAGGACCACCACTGCAGGGAGTGGATGATCAGGTTGAGCTGGTCGAAGGGGACATTTATCCACCTCCCCTACCTGTGACACAGCCCAGGACTGTCCCTTCTTTCCTATACTTGTGCGCACATACCTGTTTCCTCTGTCCTGACCAACCATGTGAAAAGGACCGTGCTGGGCGGCAGGGAGATGGTGACACTGTAGTCAGTGAAGGGCTGCAGAGGGGGACAGGTGAATGTTCCCTTCTGGCCGTGTAGCGTCTCCTCTCCTTTCACCTCTTCAGCCTCACAGGGAGGGGAGGAAGGCCCTGCCAGACGGCACGTGGCCCGCATGCGCTGGCAGGCGTCAGGGAGCCTGCAGGTCCAGTTCAGTTTGATGCTGGTGCTGGAAATCTCCAAGGTCCCGGGGACAACCTGGAGGACCTCTGTGAAGGAAACATTGCAAGAGGGTCACTTCCTTCCCTTCCCCTCCCAGCCTTGCAAGCGTGCTGGGTCAGATAGCTCTGCTCCCCATCCAGCTGAGTGGGAGGGAAAGCAAGAGGCTGAAACTGGTCACTCCAGCTCTCTGGTAGGGGAGCACAAGGAGTCTGGACAGGAATGGATATGGGTGAATGTCTGGACTACTATTGCTCAAGGCAACTTTCTCCACCAAGTCAAACTGTGGTATCTGTCAGTCCCAGCATCTCTACAGTCCAACAGATGCAGCTCTTAGAAAAACCCAGCCTGTTCCTGCTCTGCATAGACCTTGGGAGAAAGGTTCATTTTCCCTGGCAGTATAGTGAGAGATGGAGCTCTAGGACACCATAAGGAGTAGTCCTCCTACACCATGCACCCAGCAAGGGGATGAGGGCAAGAAGGGCCCTGTGCTGCTTCCCCCAGGCCTTCCAGGAAAGGCCAGGAGGAGCTGGAGCTCAAGGGACTGAGGCACCCATGAGGGGCTCATACTATGCACGAAGCTTGCACAGTGACTGATGGACCAGTATTTGACCCTGGTGCCTTGTGGCGTCATCTAAGAAGCTAGGGCTATTTCATGCCTTAGGAACCTGCCCCAGGAAGTCAACAAAGCACCCAAGGGGACCAGGCGGCACACCCTGAAAGCTTGGGCCATGCGTGGAACTGTCCACAGGGTGGGGCTGTCACAGGAGAAGCATCCCCTTCTCCTCCCACCGACCTCCCCACACTACCCATGCTCAGAGCTGCCTGCAGGGAACCAGCCCTGAAACCTCTTGCTGTGGCCCAGGTCTCAGGGTTCTCAGTGAGCTGGGGAGCAGCAGAGGACTATTGTTTTCAAAACTTCAGGGACCTCTCACTGGGTTCCCAAATCAGCCCACTATTGCCCTGTTCTCCCTTGGAGGGGACCTCAGTGACCCAAGCTGTGAGAAGATGGTGCCAAGCCTGTGCCCACCATGATACAGAGCCTGGAGGTGACCAGCCTACGGGGAGCAAGCTGTGATACTCACAGCTGCGCAGTTTGAGAGGACACAGGCAGCAACCTGCCCCTGCCCCAGCCATGATGCCATGCAGACCACAAACTACCACACATAGCTCTCCCATGCTCCTCTCCTTTGTGCACATGCTGTTGCCAGAAGCCCTCAGGGAGACCCTTATCAACTGCACCTTCAACAAGAACCTCCCATCCACTGGTGAACCACAGGCTGAACTCAGGGCAGACTCAGGGATTGCCTTGATAATGCCTTCAGCAGCACCTACCATTTCCCCAGGCAGGCAGAGAGCCCCAGACCTCCTGTGCCCGCACAGCCTGCCTTCCCCTGCTCAGGAAGGGCAAAGCGGGGCAGCCAGGACAGCTCCTGATGCCTCCCTTACCAATGCACTCCACGTTGGACCGAATGCGGACCCAGCCACCTCTGCTGTCCCTTCCACGCCAAACTTCTCTGTATACAGGTTTCCCATGACTGATGGACTGGACTTCACTCGAACATTTTATTTCAGTGAAGGACGGCTGGAAACCCTCAGGGCAGCTCAGCATCACTTCTTCATTCTTCTTGTAATTGTCCTGGTCTGGTGCCAGCCGGAGTCTTGAGTCCCACCGGGGCCTTTGGCACGTTTCTGGCAGAGGTGAACGTGGGTGTTAGTTGTGGTTTGAGGTGATGAGATGGGGCAGGGGTGGGTGGTGGGAGAGAAATCCCAGCAATCCCTCCAGCCCCTGCAGGGAGAGGGAAGGTGACACGTCCATCTGCCAGGACATGACCCACAGGCAAGGCTTGTTGGGAGGGGGCCCGCCTTGTGTACCCGAAGCGTGAATGATCACTCATCCGTGAACCTCCCCCATCCACCCTTTTGTCCGGGGACACTATATTCCCTCCTCCACAGCCCACAGCAGGGAGTTTCCCAGGACAATCACCCCTGCACTGGGAGACCCCCTCCAGCCACTCCTTCGAACATGTCACCCACCCCAGCTCAGGCTGCTCTTGATGGGCCATGGCACCACCAGCCCTGCTGGGGTGCATGTCTCTCCAGCCATGGCTCGTCCCTCCCACACGGACCAGAGATGCCCCTGTTACACTTCTGGGGTCCCTGTGCTGGTTCAGTCAGTCCCTCTGCAACTCTGCTTCCCCATGCCACCGTGCAGTGGGACATGGGGATGAGCAATGCCCTCTCCATTCACGTCCCCTGCTTTACCACAGCCCCTGCCCCTTTTCCCTGCTACAAGCCCTGCTCCCTCCTCCACATCCCCTCCTCACCACATTCACCGTCCTCTGGGCTGAGTAGGCACAGCCTGTCCCAGCAGTTTGCGGAGTGCTGCGGGGGGAGGCTTTCTGGCAATGATTCCCACAGGCAGGGATGCTGGCACCTGGGAAGGAGCACTTCCCTGTTCCAGCCTCTGCAAGGGGCTCCGGGAGGCCTCTAAGTGCTTAAAATACAAACTTTCTTCTGCCAAAGGGGCAGAGAAGGGATCTCACAAGGTTCAGACCATCTTCTGAACAGCCACAAAGAGGTACAGACACGCTGGTGAACAAGCCACTTTACGGTCAGGCTTTGCTCTCAAACAGCCCTGATTACAGAAGGCAAGAGATGCCCAGCTGAGCGCCGCAGCCAGCAGCTGTGCCCCAGTGACACACAGCCACCACCTACCCCACGCCCAGGCACCCAGCCGCTCCCCACGCCCAGGCCCATCCAGCTGGCAATGTGGCAGCAAGTTCCCTTTTGCTCTGCTCTCAGCAGGCACGGTGTCCCTCGGGCACACCTGGGGACAGGATGTGTACAAAAAGCGGTAGCCCTGCCCCCTGAAGACCCTTCCCCTGATTCACGGTGCATGAATTCATGCCTGATTCATGCCTGCAGCCTCCAGGGAACGATTGGCAAACTGGCTCAGTGGAGGGCATGACCCATCCCCGACCATCCAGCCCAATCCTGTTCTTCCCACAGCACCCCCAGTGCACCCCCACAGTAGCTCCTGCCCCCCAGGGTCTCCCAGAGACAGCAGGTGCCCCAGCTGACACAGCCCTCAGGGGTCCGCCATGGCTGCATGCTGTAAATTTGCGTATCAAGCTTGCAGGGGGAGGAGCAGCAAAATCTTCTCTTGAGGGGAGAGGAGGAACCGTTTCTTACCTGTTTCCCAGGACTCTCCTTGGACCTTGGGATTGGGTTCTTCCTGGCCCTGTGCTGCCAGCAGAGATACAAGCACCAGGAGAAAGCTCAGAGCCTGCAACTGCAGGGCCATGCTAACATGAAGTCCCCAGGCAGGGCTGAAATCTCAGATCCACTTGCTGCCTCTGAGCCCAGGCATCTGTAACTGACTGCAAGACTTGCAATCACAGGAAGGAAACAGATGTGTGGGGAAACCTCATGAGATACAGGACGCTTCCTCTTTGGGGAGGGAACCTCCCATCAGTGTCAGTGCTACTGCCTTTTGCTGCCTTTTTTCCCCAGGGGCATCCAAGCTCTGGTACTCAACAGAAGAACCCCTGTCACCAGGATCCCAGAGTTTCCCCCCAAAACCCTCCTAGGTACCAGAGTGCATACAAGAAGCACTGCTCCTATTTCTGAGGCAATATCCATGTGCTTCCCAACGTCACTGCATGGGTTTTAGAGTTGTGATGAGTCACTGCACTTCCCCTCAATGATCACAGGAGATGGAGGACCTTTGAGAAATCACATAAAGAGCTAGCAAGGAGCAGGGATAGGAATGGGGACGTGATCTGCAAGGAGTACCTCAAGGCCTGAAACAAGTCCTTGGCCCTTCTGAAAGACACACTCAGCCCACACCCTCTCTCATCCTTCCCTGCTCCTCCATCCCCAGCTGCCTCCTCATCCTCCCCCTCAGCCTGGCAACACTCTCCTCTGTCCCCAGGTGTGCAGACCACCCTGCCCTCTAGTGCCAGCCGAGTGCCTGAGGAAACCCTCAGAGCTACTAAACCCCCCGCCTTGCTCCTCAGCAGCTCCTGCTTTTCTCTTCCTCCAGAACCTCCCATGGGCCCATCTGAGATGTCTCAGATCCCAGAGGGCTGGGTGATCAGACACAGGGGCTGCGGAGGAGCAAAGACCATGCTTGTCCCTCAGCTTTGCCCACAGCACATGCACAAGACACACTCCTGCTCAGGACGTATTGAGGGGAGCACCACCACTCACTGGTTCCCAACACACACCCCATCCAAATGCACGTCAGAGCTGCCCAGCACAGCCATGGAGGTTTGGGGAGGCTGTCAGCCACAGCTCCAGGCCACAGCAGGCCTGCTCATGGCCTCCCCTCAACAAGGTGCTCAGCACCCCACAGGGAACACGACCCCACAAGGGCAATGAGGGGAACAGACAGGAGCTGGGGGGGAGGCAGGAGGCCCCCTCCAAACCATGAGCCTTTATTGCTTGTCTGAACAGAGTAGGCAGAGTCACCATGCTGACAGCCCAGGCTCTGACTGGATATGGGGATAGGGAGTGGGGAGCAGGGCAACCCAGGAGGTGGCAGGAGCACAAACCAACCCTCCCATATCCCAACCCTGCACATTCCCCTTTCTCAACCAGCAGTAGCCACATGGGGTTAAGCTCGCTCCTTCCCTCTCTGCCCAATAGCCATCCAGAGCAGCTCCATCAGGCATGAAGGTCACACCAACGAGAACCCATGTGAAGGAGATGCTTTAGTCCTAGGGGCCAGTTGCAGGTACCACAATGATGGTCAGACAGCTCATATGAAGGACTGTCAAAACACGTCTTTACTTGCACATGCAGCTCATCCCAAGTTGAAAAAAGAGCTGGAGAAGAGAGTGGTCAATTGCCCTATCTTCCAGCAGTGTGCTCCTCACTAAGGAGAGCCTTCGGGCTGCCCCTCAACCTGCCGGCTGCACCGGGCACCGGCATCCCACAGTGCGGGAGAGGCAGTGGCTGCTGGA